ATGAGTCCTGGTTGCTTTAAGAAGAGTATTCAGAAATCAAGATCTGAGTGCCAGGTGTACTCTTGATACATTGCTTCAAGGGACTCTCAGCCTGTATTTATTTCTGTCTCCACAAATTCACACTGATAACCTCCATTGCAATTAAATACCACACAATTCATTATAGCTTTCATGCAATCTGTATTTATACCCTCTCTTCGAACAGCTCCTATTATCCCCAATATATTTCTTAATCTGTCCATGTATACATGTTCTCTTAATCCCACTGGGCTGGTTGCCCCTTCACAGGTCCTGATCTCTGTAGGATTTGCTTCCCTGGATCAGGGTAGCTACCTTTGTTGGGCCTGCCAAATGATTTTTGGTGAAAGAAAGCCAAAAATTGTTGTTGTTAAGAAGGAAAGTGGACTCTGGAAAGAAAAGGCAAGAGAAAAAGCTCCTATTTTTCTGAAATGTGATCTATCACCTCTGGAACATCTGCATACACACACACACACACACACACACACACACATACACACACATCATTCTAAGTCTATAAAGTCCAACACAAGAGTCTGGGAGATCCTACATGCTGTAACTGGTGCTTGACTTTAGGCACTTTCCCTCTACTTCTCCAAATGCCGGGACTGAGGAGGTCTCTCTTCAGTTCTCGTCTATCCATCTTCCCTCTTGCCAAGGGGACTTTGCTTGTGTTGCTTCCTGCCTTTTTGGTGTAACCTGCCACATTTATTTTGGGCGAAAGAATGCTGTAAACTGAATATTTGTGTGTCTCCAAATAATAAGTTAAAACCCTAATCCCCAGTGGATGGTATTTGGAGACTGGCTTTATGTAGTTACCTCCATAAAGGGTTACAATTAGGCCATGAAGATGGAGACTCTGTGATGGCATTAATGCTCTTATGACTTGAGGAAGAGGCATAAGATCCCTTTCTCACCCTCTCTGCATGAACAAATAAAGCAAAGGCCATGTCAAGACATAATCAGAAAGAGGGTCCTCACCAAGAACCTGACTAGATTGTTACCTTGATCTTGGACTTACCAGCCTCCAGACCAAGAGAAATAAATCTTGTTGTTTAAGCCACCCAGCCTATGGCATTTATCAAGCTCACAAGGACAATGACTTACTAAATCTCTGCAGGGTCACCATCTCCTCTTCTGAAAGTCCTGCTTAATTCCCCTAGAAACAGTCAGGCCATTTTGTTATTTACTGTTTCTAGCTGGCAACTGTGCACTCATTGAGTATGTGTGTCATTAATGTCCCCAGTCCTTGCTAAATTGTACACTGAGTGAGAGCAGTAATGATATCTCTCTTTGGTCATGATTATGACATTAGTGTGTGACCCAGTATTGGCACATAATAAGTGCTCAAAAAGTATTTGTCATGTGAATAAATTGAATTTTAGAAGCATAATTTATATTAGAAGCACAATTTATTTAATCAGCAAATGCATTCATTTTTAAATGGCATGGTAAATATGGTGAGGCAAGTGATTGTATGACTGCAAAGACCCTGAAAACTCTTAGGTCTAGAGTATCATCTAGAAGAAACACTTACAAAATCGCAACAAAGGTCTAAATAAATTGTACAGGAAATTAATATGGGAAACTTTTACCTAAGAAGCTTTCACTATAAAGTATGTGCAAATTGTTTATTTGGCTCTCATTATTATTAGGTGATTCAGGATCATCAAAATATTAGTCCTTACAGATAGGATTGTAAAACATGTCCTGTGAAGGGCTGGGGACTTATGGGGGGGGGAAGGTGAATGGAGAGGATAAAGGAGGGTAAATATGGCCAAAGTGCTTTGCATATTTATGTGCAATAGAACAATGAAACCTATTGCAATCATTTTAAATATGGGTAAGGGGTGAGCGGAGAGAGACGATAGGGGAAAATCTAACCGAGGTACATTGTAAGCATATATGGAAATGTCACAATGAATCCCCCTTGTACAACTAATATATGCTAACAAAAATGCTTTGAAAATAAAGTCTTAGTCCATCCAAAGGTACAATAGAGTTCCATTCAAAGTCTAGATGTGAAAGCCAGGTATGATGGTGCATACATACTTGTAATTCCAACACTCAAGAAGCTGAGACAGAATTGTAAATTCCAGGCCAGCCTAGGCTACATAGTGAGATCCTGTCTCAAAAGAAAAAAACCCAAAAAACTAAAAGCAAAATCAAAACAAGTCCAATGTGAGCACATATGTAGGCATGTTTTGGAACTGGACAAGGTAACTTTAAATTTCACTTAGAAAAGATTTTTGAGAATAGCTAAGGAGTTTATTTTTAAAAAGAAATATGAAGGATAACTTGTTTTACCCAAATAGTAAGACTTTCGCTAAAATTATTATAATCAAAATAATATAGCCAGAAAATCTTTTACTATAATCAGAATAATATGATTAAATACAAGAATAAATAGATCAATGGAAGAGAATTGAGATCGAAACAAAGTTCATATAATAACTTAATGTCCAAGATGATATGTGAATTAATAAAAAGTGAATAATATGTTAATAAGTAATGTTGGCATAACTGTTCACCTGGACAAAATGGTGAGAATATACTTTCTGATATTAAAAATGAATTCCAGAACACCCCTGGTATCTGTCAACAAAAAAATGGAAGAACAAACAATAAATTCAGCAATAACTAGGAATATAAATTTCTGTGCCTCACAAGAACATGAGTGATTCTGTCACACAAAATGCTAAGTGAAAACAATCAGAAACAAAAGAATCATTTTCTGTGATCCCACTGATATGAAGTTCTAAAAAATCTGTCGTTGAAAAGAATCAGAAGAGTGGTTGTCTCTTGGTATGAGTATTTTGCGGGGAGGGTGAGAATTAACCTAGAAGGAACATGAGGGAATTTACTTGGTTGATAACCATGTTCCTTATCTTGTTGGGAGTTTGGGTTACGTGACTGTGTGAATTTGTTAAAACTCTAAATATACACTTAAGACCTGTGTATTTCATTGAATGCAAAATGTTCTTGAAGAAAAGAGTATAGAGTGATGGATGTACAGAGGTATGGACAGAAGTTCTGTCAAATTCTTTCAAGATCTCTGTATGCTTGAAATTTTTTAAAATAAAATGTTGAAAAATAAATAAGTAAATCAAAATTAAATAAATTTTAATTTAAATATAGAATAAACCCCACAATAAAATAGCACAGAAAATTTTAAGAAGCATTTATCATCTTTGAGTGAAGAGAACAAACCAGTTATCCTAACAAGATGTGGAAGTAAACACAGATATTTTTGACTACTTTTGACTGTTAGGATATTAACTAGTTTTCAAGCCAAAGTATAACCAAGACAATTAAAATAACAACAGGTTGGTGGGGATGGAATAATTGTATCATATATGACAAAGGGTTAACATTCCCGACATAAAGACCAACAAATAACCAAATAGAAAAATAGGTAAGACATCTATAGACAACAGAAGAAATATGAATTGTAGTAATTGTGTGAAATGATATTAATAAATCTAGCAGTCAGTTGAAAATGCAGTTAAAACAAAATGAGGTAACCATTTTTAATCATTAGATTAGCAAATTGTTAGAAGTTGATCACCAAAAGAGCTGGTAACAATGCTAGAAGATGGGCACATTCCTGAAGGAATATGACTATTTACCAAGTTTGAAAAATCAGTCTGGCAGTAATGTCCAAGACATATAAAAGAATGCAGAGATACAGGCATTATAAGGTCTTCATTTCATAGAATTAATATCTCAAAGTTGTTTTTTTTTTAACAAAGAGAGAAATGTGAAAGGGGACAGCTATCTGTTGAGAAAGATGCTTCAGGGCAGATTGGTCTCATTGTTAAATCTGGCTGGTCTCATTTTTTATAGTCCATGGGCTCAGAATGATGTGTATAACTTTTTAAAGGGTTACATCACAAATGGCAATATAATTATTTCATAATAAACTCCATTTTGCCTCTTGGCCAACAAAGCCTAAGTGACTTACCTTTAAGAAAATGTCTGCCAATTCCTGCCTCAGGGAAATTGTAAGTTATCAGTTATTCTTTTGCTACTTCCCTCTATTGTTTTGATTCTTATAAAGCACATTTGCAAGTTTAAGGAAGATAGGTATTCAGGGAGGGAGGTCGACCAATCACTTTGGATGCTGTTGGAAATGGCATAAGGAGACAAGTAGAAACCAGGAATCCTAGTTAGGCAGCCACTGTAACAATCCAGGCAAAAGAGAATGGTGCCTTGTAATGGGGTGGTGGCAACAAAGAGGGGGGAAAAGAGATAGATTCCCCAGGAACCTATAAGAGTTACTGAGGGATTGAAAATGAATGGTGAGACACAAGGAGAAATCGACGATGACTCCTCACTTTCAGGTTCTGATTAAGTGGTGCCAACTACTGGGATGGAGAGACTGGGAGGGGATATTGAAAAGCAAAGCCAGAGGTCTATTTTGAACTTGGTAAAGTTCTAAATGGAATTGTGTGAAGGAGGTAGTTGGATCTAGATGAGGAGAGCTGTTCAGGATGTGGAGGGGGAGCCTGAGCAGGAAATTCAAATTTAAGACTACTCATCATATAGCTGGTGCTTAAAGCTGCCTGGAAGCAAGATACAGGAAAAAGCAAAGGGCATTAAGATTCAATCTGGTGACACAGTGCCCAGCCCAACTACAGAGTGAAATCCTTAATCATACCCAAATCCTGCTCCCTGATGATGGATGTCTCTGCTGCCACTGTCCACCTGATTGAATTCTCCAAAAGTTTCTTCCCACTAGTCAAGGAACACCGCTCATTAGATTAGACAGGGCACCTTCCTCACAGCCTATACCTGAATCCTTGCCTGTGTAATCAGCTGCTGTTGCTTCTCATGGATGGATGGTCCTCCCATTGTCTGCTTCCCCAGTGGGAAGATCAGTTCAAGTTCCCTTCCAGTATGCTCTGCTACAGGTGCCCAGCCATGTGCAACCATCTTGTATTCACGCCATGCTTTTCCAGAGAAGACCAAGAAGGACTCACCAAGGAGCTGGTGTAGGTGGGGTCTGAAGTGTCATCCTGGAGGTAGCGGGAGAGGCCAAAGTCAGACACCTTGCACACCAGGTTGCTGTTGACCAGAATGTTCCTAGCAGCCAGGTCCCGGTGCACATAATTCATCTCAGACAGGTACTTCATGCCAGCAGCGATGCCCCTCAACATACCCACCAGCTGGATCACTGTGAACTGCCCATCATTTTGCTGTGATGAGACATAAAGAAGGGTCAGAATCAAGATGGGCTTCAATGGATAAGCGGGAGCCAAGAAGCCATGCCAACTGCTTGTCAGCCTCTCTTAGCACAAGGCATGCAGCTCACTGCTGCCCCTTCTTCTTCCTCCCCAATTCTTATCCTCTCCTTGAACACTTCACTGTCTTTTTGCCAAGCCCTGTCGATTTCATTTCTAAATTACATCTCAAACTCATCCACTCCTCTCTCTCTCCACTTCCACCATTCCACCCAAGTCATGGTCATCCATCACCTGTTACAGCCTCCTGCACCAGCACCGCCCTACAATCCATTCTCTCCACGACAGCCAGAGTCATCTTTTAAAGACATAAATCAGGTCATGTCACTCTCTGGCTTAAACTCTCTAATAGCCTCCCATTGCATTAAGGATAATCTCCAAACTCATTAGCTGAGTCTATAAGACTCCATGGGATCAGCTACTGCCTTGTGTTATACCATAGGACCCCTTACTGCTGTGCTAAATAAAGCCACAGTGACTGGCAACCTCTCAGTTCTCAACTGAAGCTCTCCCTGCCTTAGGGCGCTTCCATGTGCCATTCCCTACGTTTTTCTCTCACAATTCACAACTATTTGCCTTTCAATTTTCTGCTGAAATGTTCCTTACAAAGAGGACACCCTTGTAATTAACCTCTCATTCCCTCAAATATCATTAGCACTTTCTGGCTACTATCTTTTAGTGCATGCCTTTATTGTTCTTCTTAGCACATATCACAAGTTTTAACCTTGTGTATGTTTGTGTGTGTGTGTCTTTCTGTCTGTCTCTTCTGCTTGACTTTAAGCCTTTTGAGGATAAGAACCCCATCTCCTGTGGTCACTACAATTATTAGTGCTGAAAACTTTAACAGAGAAGGAAAAAAACTCAATAAATATAAGTTAAACGAATGACTCTTCTTGCTTCCAAAATTCAATGTCTAAGTCATCTTCTGTGAGTGATTTCAGACCTGTCAGTCTTTACCCTGGGATAACTACACTCACTCATGGGGAATGGGGCAGAAGCTCAGACATGGTGTCTGGCACATGGGACTCTGCTAGTGTGTGGGGCTGCTGATGCTCCTCCTTATAACAGCCTGTGATTCCCTTTCTCCAATCACTAGTGGGCTCACAGCTGCTTGGGCAGGTGCTCTCCCTCTGTCAGACTCTTCAACAAATGGACTGTGGCTTCCTCTTGCCAACCCAAAACTCTTGGATCTTGCCTCTGTGCACAGTGGTTAAAGCAGTGGGCTCATGCTGTCAAGAACATATTTTCTCATTTGTTCTAGCCCATTTGCTCCCCAAAGAGCCATGAGTTGTATCCTGCAAGTAGAGCATGGTCCAAGCACTGGGATGCTGAGACTGGAGAAGATGTAGAAGGAAGCATGACATTGAGGGTCAAGACTGCTGAACAAGGGCTCCAGGGAAGCCAGCCACATCCTCTTTCCTAGAGTCCTCATGTGAAACAAAGAAAGTATAAACACTGTGAGGTGTTCCCATTCATTGGCCATGTTTTCAATGCCAAATGTTTCACAATGCACTCACATACATGATCTCATGTAATCATGTGTGGACATGCCTTTTTATGCATTCGCTCCTCCAAAGACAGTTTTCTATGCAAAAAATAAGTAAGGAAACATAAAAGACTTGTTATAAAACATCTTATTTATTAGAGAACACACCAAGACCAACAATCAAGAAGTCTAACAATGAATGCATGAATTGTTCAAGACTGTTCCTCATGCAAGATTTCATGCCGGGATCCATCTTTGGGGGGTTATGCCCTGGGATCAATTGAAGCAAATTGCTATTCCTTCTTCCTTCCTAAGACTCTGCCAGAAGAAGGGTCCCTAAATATGCTGGGTTTGACATACCCCACATCTCAGGCTGCTTGTAACTCAAATCTTTACCTCCCAACCTGCCCAGATGCTTTTCCCTATAATATTTTTATTTCTTCTAACTAGCTCTAAAAAAAAGTGCAGGACTGCTTTTTAGAAACTCTGATTTTGAGCACATGTTGCCCATCTGTGAAAGCTGGATGCACAGTAAGTGACGCAAATCCTCCTCCTCGCTAATGAACTTCAATCAACACCTTCTCAAGAAGTTAGCCAGCCCTTCCTTAGCACCCTGCCTTTGCTCCAAGCAGGTCTCTGGGGGGATTTGCCTCCTCAGAAAGTTGCCACACAACTTCTGTAGACTATAAAAAAATGTATCTCAGCTACAAGTCATATGGGTTGTGTTTTTTTTTCAGTTCAGTTTGTTATTTCCTTTCTGTAAGTGCAGATGATGTGGTGAAAAATTGATGTTTCCCTAAAGAAGTTGGCATTTGGGTGGAGAAGGGCACTGGTGGGGTCTGTAAACAAGGTCAAGAAAGTATATGCAGCAATGTGTCTCTGTTTTTGCTTTAAGTCATTGCAGTCTTCCTGTTTTATTATCTTATGTGTCTTAAAATTTAGTCCAGGCATCCTTCATGGGTCAGCAGAGGTCAAGAAGTGGTTAAAAGTCTGAACTCTGGAGCCAAACAGACCCAGTTTGGATCCAGGCTGTGCCATTCGCTGGTTGTGTAAGCTAGGGCAACTTAAACTACAGAGCAGCACTTTCCTCATCTGTAAAATAAGATTGTAGGGTCCACTCTTTGTAGGGTTTTGGTGAGGTTTAATGTAAAAAGGCTTCACTCGGTGCCCTGTGGATGCTAAGGTGGAAGCAATGATCACTGCTACTTCCAGCAAGGCCATAACATCTTCCAAGTCTGCTCTACCCTTTGCCTCAAATGGGCCTGGTGAGAAAGACTGAGGACACCTTCAATCAGGACCCTGCATTCCTCTCAGCTTCCAGAGTGCGTGAAAGAGAAATCCTAGGGTCACTGCCCTTGGATAGCCCCGTTCACAGTGTATTTGGAACTCAACAGGTAACAGGTAGATATCTGTAAAGCTCCCTGCCACCCATCCAACTCTAGTAGTGATGAAACCTTGAAGTTTGGATCAATTAATTGACAACCATCGATTTCTTTCATTACCTGACTTTTGAATGGCAACTCATACTTCCCAGAACATATTTTAGGCCTTAAAACTGGTTCTGTGAAGTAGGTAAGGCAGGCGTTGTTTTTATAGGCAAGACAAAGAGGTCCAGAGAGTTTACGTGATCAGTGTTAAATCATTCTGTGCAAGTTTGAGTTATAACAGAAATCAAAATCCAGAACATCAAATTGCTTCTCCACTGACATTCTGTCCCTGATCCACCAGTAATGGCTGCTGCACATGCTGGTTGGAGAAGCTGTGCATAGCTTTGCAGGAAGAACAGCCATGACTGATTAATGATGCTACTCTTATCTGCTCTTTTAACTCCTGCCCAGTGTCCACTGGGATATGCTGATTTTGCAATGGGTGGTGCATTTCCTTAGGGTCTGCAGGGGACCACGTATCACCATAGGCAGGTTCCTGTCTTACTGAATCCGTAATCTTGGTGAAACCTAAAAAATAAACATATTAAGATTTTCTGACATGTTCAACTGTTTTTTGGGTCCAGAGATAAGAACCAGCATACAAAATAAGTGAGACCAAAAAACAATAACAAACAGACTTCTTAGTGACTGGGAAAGAGCGTGGCTCCACGCTGAGCATATTGGTAAAAACACAGTATAGAGAAGAAATACTGGCTTGGATGGAGTGATTTAAAATTTCTTCCCTTCATGAAGTGCTTTCTGCTGAAATTACTTTTCTGCAAATGCACTGAAGCCACTTGCTCGCCCTTATATTAGACAGGAAGGATTTAGGTATTTCAACTTTCATTGACAAATCCACTTCAGGAAATGAAGCCCTTATTTGATTTGTTTGAAGAGAATGAGTCATAGATTTTTTTTTAACTCAAAGAGAACTTTCAAGCTCATCTAGCACACTGCTTTTAGTTTATAGATGGGAAAACTGAGTTAACAGACTTGCTCCAGGCCATAGGGTGACTCATAGCAGAAGCCAAGGCATTGGCTTGGACTCAGGACTTCCAATCTGGTGTTCTCTAGCTGATATCTGGGCAGCTACCTTCTAGCTTCAGCCCATGAATGAGCTTCCCTGGTGAGAAGTCTCCTCATTTGACATGACTCAATGACTTCCAGGAGTCTTTGACTTACGACCATCTGTGAATGAAGTAGTAGAAACCACAAGGTTGCACTTTGCAAGAAGCCCTTATGGAACATGTCAACCTTCTTAGCTAAGACACACTACATTCAGGAATTGTTCCTAAGATTAAGGAAGAGGCACTAGATTGACTCCCTGGATTTAAGCGCCAAGAAGGAAATATTTAATTATGGATGTGCATGTAAAACAGCCCATGGCTCAGTCATTTATAAAAAATTGGTAATAATGAACCACCTGCTGAGTGTGTGGTTAAAGAATAACAATGTTTACAGTCCTTCTAGAAGATGAACAATTCTACATTTTGCAATGAGAGAGGAACAGTAAGAGGGTGGTTAGAAGCTATATCCAAAGTACTGAATGGATCTCCAATGTCCTGATCCAGGGCTAGAGCTGCCACCACTCTCCAAAGCTGCTACATCCAGCTTTGGAGAATTGAAGGAGAAGAAACAGTTGCACGAATGGAAGGCTAACCCTTTTCTTTTCTTCTCTGAATGGTGATCCTAAAATTCTTCTTCTTCCCAGAAGATGGACCCTGTAGAACTGAACTGATGACCTATTTTTTTTTCAATTTTATCAAGCAGCAGATACACCAATTAATGTTGCTATGCTCCAGGGTTCGGTAGTAAGGCTGAAATTAGATTTATAGATTACCTGCCTCCACAAGGTACGAGCAGTCAGAAACGCTTCACTTCCCCTCTGCTCCTGGCACTGTCTGCTCTCTCCACTCCCTTCTTGCTGTGCCTTCTTCTCTGTTTTCTTCTGCTTCTCTCTTGCCACTAAGTTTTCTCCTACTGCACACCAGGCCTCATCATCATGAGAAAACCGCTGGTGTCCAACATACCTCTGTGCACTGGTATGTTCCCAGATAGGAACAGACCCTGTCTGTTAATTTCCCCAAGAAATTTCCTGTCTCCTAATTTCCCCAAGAGTAAGTCTTAATCACAGCTCCCAAATCTTGTGGTGACTTTCTGGAAGTACAATAAGAGTAGAAAATAAACAACTCCTGAAAGGGTCTTCAGGCTGGTTTGGAAAGTACTTCTCCTAACATTGTCTTCTCTTCCTGTTTATTTGATTGTCCCTATGTGATCTGTGATTGCAAATGAATCACCCAGGAAAACATTACCCTGCCATACTCTGATGTGGTTACAAGGACAGTGGCTGAGATATGACATGCCCACAGGACTACTAGATCTCTCCTGCCACACTCTTATATCTTGTTCCAGAAGGAATTGTTCATCAGTTTCATTCAACCAGCATTTACTAGGTGCTCACTATGCTAGATACCTGGGTTTCAAAATAGAAGATGCAATCCATTTCTTCAAGGAGGCTGCACTAGGCACAGTACATGGGCCCCCAATCTGCATCAGTTGTCTTAGTCCCCATTCCCAACAAGAGGACCTACTGCCTAAGAACTCAGCCGAGGCACCAAGCATGAGCTGCCCTGCAAAGGTAGCTTCAGTAGTGTGCAAATGCAGCTTCCAGGACCCTCCTGTCCTATAGCCCCTAAGCTTTGTTTCTGGGTATTGAAGCTTCCAAGATGCTGCTGTAGATTACCAAACAGAGTTGGCTTACTTTGGCTTCTTCATACACGGTTTGACTCTTCCATCAGTCCACCTGCCTACTCTCCCACCTGTCTGGTCAATTCCTCATTCTTTAGTATCAGAGAAATTCTCCCTTCTCCCTGACACCTTTCCTGCCTTCCCAGGAAGATTTAAGTCCTTCTTTATGACACCTTTGTTCGCTACTTTTGGAAGATGGGTGCTAGAAGTTTTGGGCACTCAGATTCTTGAACTTCACCTGTGGCAGATCTTAGTCTATGAGATAGACATAGTATCTCCCATCTCTTAAGCAAAACAAGATATTGGGTTGTTGTCTTTTTATCAAAACATGGGCTGTTTCTTCTCCTAGGATCTGGGTGGGCCTGTCACTGTGGTGGAAGTCACACTACATGGCTTCTAAGGCCAGGTCACAAAGGTGACCTCCTCTTGAGATGTTATTCTTGGAATCCAGCTTGCTCTAAGTGAGCGGTGCTAGTACCAGATATACCAGTGATGGAGCCTTCAGTCAGTTCCAAGTCTCAGTCCTTGATCTGCTGCAGTTAACTCCACATGGAACAGAAATTCTCCTGCATCCTTCCCCTAAGCCCCTTACCTCAATGTCAGGTTCATGAGCATAATAAATTGTGTGGTTGCGCTAAGTCACTAATGACTTGGGGTGATTTGTTACACAGCAGTACAGCAATATTTCTTTCATCTCTACAGACCCAGCCCCCATCAGTGTTTCAGCTGTATGAATGAATGATCCTTTGATCAGTAGCCACAGCTACTGCCTGGTAGCCATGGTGATGTGTGTAGCCTGCTCCTGGGTATCACCCCAAAGTGCTTGCTCTGACTCCTCTGGCCATTCTTTGCCTCCAATCCTCTGCTCTCAGACTTCCCACCTGTCCTAATTTAGCTTCTTGGTCTGAGGCAGGTCCTACTCCCAGACTGGCTTACCTGGCTTCTACTCCCTAGACCCCAGCACCTTGATCCTTACCCTACATGGTTTTGTAATACTGATATAAATGAAAGTGGCTCCACTGTAGGCCTGGCAATGAACCTTTAGTAGTCCTCCAACCAAAAGGCATTCACGCACCCCTCCCCACCTCTGCTGCAAATTGATTTGGAGTCACAATTCTTCAATATTGAAAAAGACTTCTTGATGTTTGTGACACAGTCTTCCCCTTGCCTGCCCAGAAGTGCTTCCTCCTAGGGCAGGTGGCCCATGCATTTTCTAGAAAAGGGCAATCTATTTTATCTCTGAATTGCCAATAAAGAGGGCTGGCAGGAAGTGTGGCTGTGCGGCAAAAGGCAGAGTTAGCCGCTGGCGTCTGCATGAATCACACAGGGCTACAGAGCCACCAAGAGTCTCTTCAGTCTCTGTGATTCATGCAGATGCTTTTGGGCCTTCTTTGCCCCTCTCTCATTTTATTCATCCAACAAGCATTTATTGAGGCCCTCCTCCATGCCATCCTCTCTCTGAGGAGTCTACCAGCACTGCTCTGTTCTCTCCTTCAGCAAAAATCTCTGCTCACCTTGCTAATATCTCCAACACCCACCCATATGTGACGAGCTGATTTCTGAAGGCAGGTAATGCTCTCAGAACACTTCTGTTTCCAATAATACTGACATTATCCCTGCCCTTGAGTTGCTCTTACCCTAAGGAAAGAGTCCAAAGCACCATTCTCCATGAACTCCGTGATGATCATGACTGGCCGACTCTTTGTGACGACACCCTCTAGGCGAATGATGTTGGGATGGTCAAACTGACCCATGATGCTCGCCTCACTCAGAAAGTCCCGACGCTGCTTCTCTGAGTACCCAGCCTTCAGGGTCTTGATGGCGACATAGATTTCCCTCTTGCCTGGCAGTTTCAAACGCCCCTTGTACACTTCTCCAAACTCTCCTGCAACAGCAAGAATGCAATTAGTATCCTTATCCTTCAGCTTATGGAGCCACAAGGGGAGGCATCTTATGAAGAACAATGGTGCTCAAAGTGGAATTGTAATTAAAGTAGCAGAAGTGGAAATAGGGTTCTCTCATTGTGACTATAATGTCTTAGCTCTAATCAATTCATGCAAAACACAAAAGGAATACTAAAATACATCCTTTATGTCAGTTCTTAGAAATAGTCTGAGTGACCAAAGCAGAATTTCAGAATACATATGAGTTTGCTTTTTCCCACATTAAGTTTTTCATTTGCATCCCAGCTGAATAATTGAAATGAAATGGTCAGTTTCACTTTGGCAGAATCATAATTCATTTTTAGGCAGAGCTTGGTGCAAAAATGTTCAGGGGATGAGGGATATGCTTAGGTACTATAGCCCCCTGGATGAGATGTATACTGTTTATGTTCCCAAATTCTCAAATGAAAGCATTTGTGTCTGTTGTGTCCTGAGACATCAAGAAAGTAAGAGGTTTATATGTGAAAGATAAAAGGGAGACAGTCAGGATTAGACGGAAAGAGCCCCAGATCACAATGATATGTGGTCCACGCAGACGTGGTAAAGTCCTGCCAAACCTAATGGGCAGCTCCAGTAGAGAGATCTCTCATTCCAGAAACTTCCAGGCCCTAACATCCCCCTCAGACTCAGTCACTGATTGGGGGCTGCTTGGAAAAGCTAGGCCTCTCCAGAAAAGCTGAGGGAGACCCTGAAGATGCTGCAGCTGGAGGCTGTGAGCTAACTGCACCCCTGGCAGCTAAGCAGCGGTTGTTTCTCCAAGTGGGTGCAAGCTGCACACCTCCCTGGCTATCACAGCATTGAAACATTTTTGCAGTAAAATCACCAGGAGTAAAAACAATTCTGGTGACACTATTTCATAGCTGCCTAAAAAAAAATCTGTTGAATCCTGTTTAATGTGCTTTCAAAAGTTATTTTATGATTTCACTTGGTTTTGTAACTTCCATTTCTTTCACGTGAAGCAGTTAAGTATCTACTTGTAAGTGCATCGCTGAAATGTGTGTCAAAAGCCTGTCAAGAGAAACAGCATTTTCTGCTGGGAAAACTTTTTTTTTCACTTTCAGCTTCTAGAAGAAAATGATGGAGCAAACTGTGAGCAATCAAATAAATGACCGGCCACATTAGGAAGGTAAGTTAACATTGCTTCTGTGGTTTAGTTGGGAATTCTTTTGTTTTCTCTGCAGGAAAGATTGGAAGGAAGCTGCACAAAAAGACTTTTATGCAAAACTGCTCCAAAGTCCACTGAACTTGACAGAATGCGGTACTGGAGTAGAGACTGGCTTAAGCACCATTCGGAAGGTTTCAGTATAGATTTAACACTAAGATAGATACAATTTGTAACACTGGCTTTGATACTGAATCATATGCTGTTATGAGAGTTTGAGGTCAGACTGAGACCCTCACATTCTGAGCTTGCACATCTACTGGAGTGCCTGTTATGTGGCAGGCATGCCAATAAAAGTTGGTGTGTCATATGTATTGCTATTTGTTTGGCCTTCGCCTTGCCCACTCTTGAGTTATAAACTGATGAGATTTTGTCACTGTTTTATCCAAAAGAAGTAGAAGTACCAGAATTTAAATTTTTATGTAAAAGAATGCTCAGTGTTGTAGCATCTGCTGTAGACAGACATTGGATGCCTGTACTAGGGAATGATCGGAAAACAGCATCCCTATCTGAGGAGTACCCTGGGCTATTGAAACTAATAAGTGCCTGAAATGTGGTGACTTAAAAAATGTCTACATTATACTGTAATATGAAGAAGAGAAGAAAAGCAAGTTATAGAATGTCATATGCCATGTGTGTCCATATGCAATGTGGATGCAAAAGAAAAAATATGGAAGCTACATATCAAATTTATTTTTAACTTCAAGTTATTTTAAGATTGGTTACACTAGAAGGATAGGGATGAGAGGAGGAAGTAGAGACTAGTAATCTTAATTTAGTTACTTTTATTTTGTTTGAGTTGTTATAATCAGCATTTAACTACTTAGGTAGTTAAAAACGTATAAAATTTAAAGAAATATATTGAACAATAGGGATCCACCATATATATGATGCCATATATGTGTGTCTATATATATATATATATGCATGTATGTATATATGTACACATATGTGTATGTCTACATAGGTATGTACATATGTGTCTACATATATAAATCTATATATGTAGCATGCACATATGGAATCTATCTTCTAACATCTTGACCTAATAGATATTCAATGACTCAATAACCATGAATACAAGCTGTATGTTTGTTAGGTACACTAAATGAATGATATTGGCTAGTATTTCTTCCTTGATGCCATAATGACTTCTATCTTCTTTCAGGAAAAATGTACAGTTGAGAGTTGAGGGGAAGGAGACAGTGCACAAATATTTATCTACTGACCACTTTCTAGGCACTTTGAATATCTTATCCTATTCAATCCTCATGATACTTCTGCAACTTGGATATTAGAACTCCCATTTTACTACTAAGGAAATTAATAAGGAGACACAAAGAAAACAGGCCCCAAGTCACAACCAAAAGTTGGAGCCAGGGCTGGGGCCCATACCCATCTCTTTTACTACCATTCTGTCTCTGGAAAAGCAATTACGATTCATGACTCAGCTCTACAGGTCAACAGTTCCTATGTAGTGACAATCACAGCAACACAGTGTCCAGGAAAGAGCAAAAAAGGAGTGTTTTGTTTTGTTTCATAGACAGATATCATTCATCTAAGATCCCTGCTTGGGAGTCAGGTAGAATAAGAATATTTAGGAAATAGGGTATTCATTTATTGGTACAAATCAGTATACCAATTTGGAAAAATGCCCCAGATGAATTTGATGCCCCCACAACATGCACAGAAATACCCCAGTTGAGAAATTCTGTTCTATACTAGTGGTTCTTAAATTTGGATCACTCTTGAAATCACTGGGGCAGCCTTACAGAGTACAGAGACCTGGCTCTCACCTGGAGATTCTGATTAGTCGGTCTGGGTGCCTACTGGGCATTGACATATTGAAAAGCTGCCTGCAAGACCAGCTACATAATTTGTAGCACCTGGAATGAAATGAAAATGTAGGACTTCTTATTAAAAAATCGTGAAGAATTTCTAGACAGTGACAGCAGAGCATTAAACTAAGTGTGGGCCTTTCTGAGTATGGGGTCCTGTGCGGATGCCCTGGTGGTTCTGCAGTGCAGCCAGAGCTGAGAACCACAGCCCAAACTACACCCAGCATGTTACAAACAGATTACCAAACTGTCCAAAGCCCTGTGGTATGGGATTTTATCTGTGTATCTTGTAATAGTTTTGAAAGCAGTGCTTGTCTACAGGCTGCTTCAACTATGCAGGGCTCAGTGCCCAGTGTTTGTTTTATTAATACAAGTGGAGAGAAATAAGAAAAGAAAGAATGTGTGGCCCTGAAAAGTTGTATTTCCATTGAACGTTGTAGATAAAATTACTTTCCTGATGGACAAATGTGATTCCATTGTTAGAAAATTGTGGCTCACTGGTCTTCAAGTGCAGTACTTCTAATTACTTTTGTTTTAAATCACATTATCTGCAGGGTCTCAACACGGTCTTTAAAAGTTATAAAACAAAAGCATGCTCTTCTTGGGTAGGTAAGGAGGGCTTTGCAGTTGGTGTCTTTGGTGGTCATGGTGTCACTACCCTGAAAAATCCTCTCTGCAATGGTGTAAAGAATGCTGATTCTACAAAATTAGCTCTGTTCTTACCCAGCAAAGAAATGACTTCATCTTCTCCAAGCCAGGAGTTTTTCATTTTTCAAAGCACCAACTGCGAAGGAAGTCACAATATATACACCTGCCTCAGAGGTGCCCATGTAATTGGCCCCCCAACGGCAGGAAAGCCAGAAGTGAGTAGACGAGGAGGCTTCCTGTCTACTTCAGTTAACCTTGGTTGGGTCCTCAGTTCTCCAGGACTCAGCTTTCTCCTTGCTATATACTAAAAGAGAAGCAATAAACTCTTATCTTCCTAACTGGGTGTTGAGAGGAGTCTGTGAGAAACTGTTGCAAATGAGAAACTGTTGAAGATGTACATGGGAGTAATTTTTTTAAAGACAAAACAGGGATAAAGTGAGGGGATAGTGGAGACACTGTGAGTTCCAGGGTGGGCAGTGGAAAAGAAAAGAGAGGAAAAGTAGTTTCTGCAGTCTTGTAGGACAAGTGCCTAATCCAAGATATACCAGGTTCTTTACCCAGGGGTACTTGGGCATGGAGGGTGTTCCAGGCAAGATTATGGTGCTGAAGTCTGGGATCTCTGGCCCTTTCTTACCTCCACAGCCTCATGGGGTGGTGGGAGTCAAAGGGCACGTCGCCATTGTTTATAACAAACAAAATCAAGAATTTGTACCATCTCCCATCCTAGACACTTTTATCACCTGTTATCTTTGACTTCAGATTCGTAGACTAACTTCAAGGAACTATTTTTTTGCTTTGTGATCATTTCCCCATAGTTAGAACCAGGACTTGATGCCTGTGGTGCCATGATTTGCCAAGATCTGAACTCTTCAAGATATTCCTCTTTGATGAGCTTCACATCATGGTGATTTTTAATAAAAATGCCTGATACCTAAAAGTAATTCAACAAATCAGGTATTAACATATTTAAAGTATGAAATGATTCTGTTGGGATAGTGGTTATGGTTGATTCTCTTCACAGAGATTCTTACTAACAGTAAATGCAGCTAGCCTATTTTTGGTCCTTCTGAACTTTAAGTGGCACACATCTTTGCCACTGACCTTGAGTCCCCTTCATGCCAAAGATCTACTTGGTCAAGACCAAACCTCAGTTCCAGGCCAGTCTGAGGACCAATGACACTCAGCAGTGGTTCTCAAAGTGTAGATCTTTCCTAGTGATATCAGAATCAGCTAGAAATTTGTCAGAAAAGGCAGATTCATGACCTGATGGATTGGAAGCTTAGTAGATAGGAGT